TCATTGTATGAATAAGATTGATTTGTTTGCTTAGCAACCTTGAATTTTCTGAGTGATTGTACAATAAATCCTCTCTCTGCGTCTTATCAAGACTTCTTCCTTTAGTTAGTTGAGCCTGAGACAGTGGGAATAGAATAGCCTATCATGTCATCGTTTATTGAGTAAAGTGAACTCGTAATAGTTTCGACCATATTAAGAGAGAGTGGAGTTGTGACATTCATTAACCCATCTTTTCACAATGAAGTTGATAGAACCAGCAGCCGCCGGCCGAACAGAATAATACATTCAAACAAACAAAGACACATTAAACACTACTTTCTAATGAAAATTTTGATTGTGCGAGTTTTTTTTCAGCATTTTGACTTATGTACTCTAAATAGAGGCAATCAGATAATTTTGAAAAGACCAAAAACAAGCATTTGAGGGGGGGGTTGTATTGGGGACGTTAGATCTCCGGAATTCACTTAGAAAGTGTCCTTATTTTGAACTTTGTATGTGTTTCGCGCATAAGTCGCTGAGTTGAGCTTGAGCACAAGTTTCCCCCATCGGAAAATCGCTGACTGTCATTCATTGATGGATTATTTTTGTACGCTATTCAAGTGGCCCTCCCAAAGAACGTTGCTATCATCGTATAAAAAATAAGCTTGATTTGTGTGCTTAGCAACCATTTATTTTCTGGGTGTTTGTAGAATACACTTTCTACACCTTATCAAGACTTCTTGATACACGTAGTTAGCCGGACCGGGGACCATAGGATTAGAACAGACTATCGTGTCACCACTGCATCGTTGATCTTGATTCCGTTTGCCGAAAAAGGTGAACTCGTAATAGTTTCGAGCATATCAGTTTGGTCCACCCACTATACAATACTGATGTGTGATCATGGCAAATTCTAACTACACTCTTTCATGCAAGAGGTGATGATTTAAACCAATTATGATTTTTAAATATTACACGTACATTAAAACAACTGACGAGAATCAAATGTTTTCTACAGGATGATGAAGTGAACTGATAATTATTATGCAGTATCATCATACTAATTGGAAATACTAGTGCTAGTTATCGTCAATGTGTATGTCAAACATTGTTCTTTTTTTCACTCAGAGTTTACAAAATCTTTAATAAAACAACAATCTAGGTGCCATACATATTACTGCCAACCAGTGTTCTAGATTGTATAATTAATTCAACAGAGATGTGTTCGATTGTTGTTGGTAAAGTTTGACAATTTTATAAAAATTTCAAATCATCATATGTGATAAAGAAAAAGATGTGATTTCATCATGATTGTTGAAAAGAGTTGTGATATATTGTCAAACATAGCCTAATAACATTTGAAAAGATGAAAGACAGTCTAAGTGGTTATATTGCGTGCGATTCAACTTCATGGCGTATAGAGAATTTCTTTTTATTATGTCTATATGCTCTAACTTCGCTTAAAGCCCTTCTAAGGTTACTGCTGGTCCCAAGCCTGGATAAAGGAGGAGGGTTGGATATGATGTCGATGATGATGATGATGTAGAACTTCGTACGTAAGTACATCAGTTCATGTCGCCATACCACATCAGCACAGAGATGTAATTGTCAATTCAAATAAAATATTAGAAGAGGTAGTAAAGGTATTAGTAGTAATCGAAGAGGTTAGGATTAGAAGATATTATTCAAGAAGTATGATTCAGTGGGAAAAGTTTGCAAAGTTGAAGAATCCAGAAGATTAGGATTTGAGAGAACACGAATGCACTGGCTCCATTGCGAACGATTTTGAGTCATGTCATTCAAGGTCTCTAACCATCGATTATTATCATCTCGCGGACCCCAACCAGGTAGTCGACAATTACCGACATGGCTAAGTCCACTTGTCAACGACTTCATACATTTCTGCCATGTTTCGGTTTGGCCGCCCCTAACTTCCTTCCAACCTACTCCAACACTACAAAACAAAGCTCTTCGAGGCTACACTGATAATTAGATGATGTCAACTGGATAGATGAGGATAGACATTCTGTCAGATTCTATCTATATGTGACAAAACGAAGTGAATACCTTCATCCTTTTTTTGGCTTTCTCTGTGTGTGTGTGTGCATCTCTCACCGAAACATACACCGAAATACAATTTATGACAGTTTCAGTCAAAATATCGCCAAAAAAAAATCAATAAGGAGGATGACGACATATATAGTGGCTATGAAAAATATAATAATTGACAATCCAATGAAGTAATCTTCTTCTTTCACAATGATTAATATTAACGAAACGGATACGGATTATTTGGAATGATGTTAAAATCAAAGGAAACAGTTACAGAAAGAATTAGATTTGTATATTATTGAATTGATAAACAAACAGATGTTAAAAACGCCCGAGCCGCTTTTGGGGTTACTGCCAGTCCCAAGCCCAGATAGAGGAGGAGGATGGTTTGGCATGGGATTAGTGACCCTATGCCTATAGAAATTTAACTCGTTAGAAAAATGTTAGCTACGAAAGTAATTCGCTGGTTAACGACCTATTATACTCCATAAGAAGTAACAGGAGTAGGTAAGTAAGTAAGTAAGGGATATATATATAAAAATATATTTAAAATTATAATTGGGAATTTATAAATTGAAATATCAATTTTAAAAATCGAAATGAACTCCGTGTTTTATTTGAGAATATTTCTAAGCTAAAGAAAGAAAAAAAAGATGAAGAGGTATTCAGAAGATTAGAATTTGAGAGAACACAAAGTATGAATGCACCTGAGCGATTGCAAACGATTTTGAGACAAGGTCATTCAAAGTCTCCACCTAGTTCCATTTTTCAACATTAATAAGCGGTTAGATATCATATCACACGGTGAAGTGTTGTAACGCTTGGATCAGTGTCCTGTCAATGTCTGTTAGGATATTCATCAAATATCCTAAGAGAATTATTTCTGTAAGTCTAATTGTATTGGTCAATTCCTACTGGTCAATATTATGGTCGTCCTAACTATCAATGTCACTTCAAATGTTGTGTCCTATTTATTAGTCGTCCTAACTGTAAATGTCGCAGACTTCAATGTTGATGCCTATTCGACCTAACTGTACAAATATGCATTATCTGTAACGTTTTATGACCCGGACCCGGATCCTTGCCTTCTTCTGGAGTCGGACCTCGTACTTTCTGTTTGTTTGTGGAATACACGTTCTACTACTTCATATCAAGTCTTCTTCTTTTACTCAATGGTGGGGGGTTGGGACAATCGGATTAGAGTAGCCTGTTGTGTCGCCGAATCCTCGAACCTCGCTTTGCTTTTCCAACTAAGGTAAACTCGTACGTAATCATTCAAACAGATCATCAAAATGACATGTTTACATGCATGCGTAACAAATTCAATCTTGGAAAATATTATTCAGTTAACAGAACCGAAAGAGAACGAATTAAACAAACCACAACTGCAATGATCATTGGTTTAATGAAGCAACTCTCAATTAACCCAGTTAAAAAAAAAAAACGATGTCTATGAGACAAAGTGTGACTTGAAAGCTTGTAACAATATAATTGCTAGAAATTTAAATATTCTAACCATTAATTAATTCACACTGTCAATACTCCTCCTCATCTTTCCTAGTGTATACAACATAAAATTCACTGAAACTATTAACCATTGTCAATCAGCATTGTGCATAGGATACAGGGGAATAGAAGAAAGCAACTTATTACCCCATTGTGTATTATTAATTTACAGAATAAAAATTATTATTATTATTATTATTATTATTACGCAGTATAAATTTATTTTATTGAATAAAAACCAACCAACAAATAGAAGCAAAACACCAAATACTAAGGTGAGTTAGATCGTCAGAGAGTAAACTAGAATTAAAAAAAATTATCCAAGAACGAGTTCAATAAGGGAAGTGAAAACTACTCAAGTGTTTATGAGTTGTTTTAATTCTACTTTATTTACATAATTTAAGTATCAGATTATTAGGTGATTTCAACTTATTGTGATAGCATATGGTTAAAGTAATGCTGAGATTAGGTATATAGAGTTTCAGGGAGGTAAGTTTTGTTAAGGCCTATCAAAGTCACCACTGGCCACTCCCCCCCACACACACACACAACATCCAATGATGAATAAATAATGTAGGAAAAGATTCAAAGGAAAATTATTGACAGTCAGATTGAGACACATCACAGGTATCCAGTCAGTCAGTCAATTACAACATAGAACTTTGTACGTACCTACGTACGTACGTACATCAGTTCAAGTTGCCAAACCACACATTAGCACAGAGATGCAATCGCCACTTCAAATCCCCTAGTAGTAGAGATAGTAGAAGTATTAGCAGTAATCAGAAAGATTAGGATTCGACAATATTATTATTCAAGAAGTATATCCCAGAGGAATAAACTTATACAAAGATAAAGATGATGAAGAATCCAGACGATTAAGAATTGACAGAACACAAAGAATGAATGCACCTGCGTGCGCTATTGCCGACCCGAGAGTACATTGTTTCAAATTCAATTGAGGCTCATGAGATACACTGATTAACATCAGTCATCACTATGGTGTCAGTGCATTCATTCTCTGCCTTTTTTCAATCAATACCTTGAAGATAGTAGAATTTCACAGGTTTAATTTTTTGATGTTATTATACTTTGCACTGTATTTCATTCAACTGTGTGTGACTGTTATCTACCTCGTTCAGCTTCTCATCTAATAAACACACACACACTCTTTCTCATTATGCTGATCGATCATATATTTAAGGTATGGACAACCGGGACCGATAAGAGCTCATATCAAGTCTCATAAAGTCTCTAAATAATTGATTTATGAGAAATGCAGTTGGAATAACAAACGAACGTATATATCTTGTCAAAATAAATCACGTCACAGTTAGCATTACGTAATAAATAGTATTGTGTAACAATAATAGTAATATATATATATATATATATATATATATATATAATTAAATGAACAAACAATTACCAAAAATAAAAAAATAAAAAAAAGACAGACATACTACAGTGCATTTTCAATATGTTATAAGCCATAGCCAAGAGTAGCTTTTCACCTTCCAATAAATAAATATCCCATATTCGAAGTACCAGAGTAACAGGTAACTGAAAAAAAATCAATAATACATAAACACAGGCATGCATGCATGCAATAAATAAGAGGCAATAAATACTGATAGAGTTAACATTTTAAACAAACAATGAATGTCACAGTTTCACATAATGATAATACTAATAATACTGATAATAATAATAATCCGACTGGGTTCATGTGAACAATTTCCATATAAAGTGATTCAATAATTTAGTTAGGTGTTTTTATTCACTCTACTTGTGTCACTGTAAATTTTACGAATTATGAAAGCCAATGGTGATATAATCTGACTGTTAAAAACCATAGCATGTGAGGATAAAGTTCACAGTGTAGGAATAGATTGGATGAAAGAACTAGGGGCGACCAAACTAAAACATGGCAGAAATCCATGAAGTCACTGTGACAAGTGGACTGAGTCATGTTGGTAGATGTGTCGACTAACTTGGTTAGGGTCTGCGAGATGTTAGTTAGTAATCGATGGTTAGAGACCCTGAATAATATGGCTCAAAACTGTTTGCAACAGCTCCAGTGCATTCGTTCTTTGTGTTCTTTTAAATCCTAAACTTTTTAATTCTTCATCACATATCTATCTTTATCTTTTTAAGTTTATTTCATTAGATTCTACTTCTTGAAAAATATATTTTGTAATCCTAACCTCTCTGACTACTGCTAATAACCTTTACTACCTCTACTACTACTACTATTGGATTTGAATTGATAATTACATCACTTTGCTAACACGAACTGATGTACATGCGTACGTACGTACGAAGTTCTACGTTGCTATTGATTGATTGATTGATTGATTGGTAAAGTTCTCAGCTTTAAATAAGTGAATGAAGGTTGAGAGTGCTTAAAAGTCACTGTTAAATCACTGTTCCACATAGATAAAGCAAATAACATAACTATGTACAGCTTTGAGTACAACAAATTGTGATGTACATACACATCGGTAATGTGCAAGAGAACAATACTGTTCAATCATGAAAATTGGGACTTAAAATTGCAAACATTACACACATGTTATGTCTATGTAATAATGTATGAGAGAGTTGAAAAGTTAATTTTATAAAATCATCTTGATTATAGGGTGGTATATTTATGTTAGTTAAACTACTACTTAGTGAATCAGTAAATGTAACATCTTTTTCCAACTATGAATTAATCATGACGATTTTAGTAGGTAGGCGCAGAAGAGATGATATATGCGTGCTCAACTATGAATAATAATTACATACTTTTGATGTGACAGGCAAAATGATAGATTACATGCAGTAAGTGATAAAAAAAACCACTATAAGTAAATACTTGTAATATTTTTAGTGAAGTAAAGTTCAATGTGATATATTTCAGACAAAAATTGAAAACTCTAATTAAAAAAAACAACAGCAGCAGCATTTCCAATTCGATACATATTTAAATATAGATAATATACTTCAGGCAAATTTAGATGTGAGTATGCTATAGTTAGAATAATAGTCATAATAGTAAATTAACGGATTATATCATTTTTTTTAAACAGGTGGTTGGGACATGTGTTACGAATGCCCAACCACCGCCTGCCTCTCAGCGAGCTATGTTTTGTGGTGTAGGAGAGTAGGTTGATAGAAAGCTAGAGGAGGCCAGACCAAAACATGGCACAAATCCATGAAGTGTCATTGACAAGTGGACTGAGTCATGTTGGTAGATGTAGGCTACATGGTTAGGGTCCGCGAGACGAAAGTCACCAATCGTTATATACCTTGAATGACATGGCTCAAAATCGTTTGCAATGGCGCAAGTGCATCCATTCATTGTGCTCTCTCAAATCCTGATCTTCTGAATTCGTCAGCACCTCTACCTTTGTCTTTCTAAACTTATCTCACTGAATTATACTTCTTGAATAATATCTTCAAACCCTAGTCTTCTTCATTACCATTAATACCTCTACTATCTTTATCACTATGGGATTTGATTTGACATTTGCGTCTCTGTGCTAATATGGTATGGCAACATGAACTGATGTACTTACGTACGAAGTTCTGTTGTGTATCTGACTGACTGACTGACTGCATTATATCACGTTCACTAATGGCAAAGAAGGCAATGATAACGCTTTTCTTGGTTTGTTTTTTTCTTCATACACATGTCAGGTCAAAATAAATGTGTTGAAATATCGATTGCACTGCCTTTTAATAAACATCAGCTGTTTACAGGTATGTTTAAGTAAGAATCCTAGCAGAAACTCTGTTTTCAGTTCTGCGTAAATACATTCCACAACAATAAGTATATAAATCCATAATTCATAAATCCAAATTTATTTGACTTCGGAAGGGTACTACTACTGTGGTGCGAGCTACTTATAAGTAGTATATGACGTGAGTGTCAACGTAATGTCTGACAGCAGAAGATGGGGGAAGATCAAGAAAGGAAGAGTTAGAAGAACACAATGGAATTTGTATGAAACGCATCATGAATAGTGACAATGGATTGATGTTGTTTTGCAACAGGAACAGTCCAGTTCGATATGATGAACTGTTATTTTGCAAATGAACAATTTAAGATATGGTTTTTCTATTTTACTGAGTAACTCTGTAATTTTCGTTAAATACAATCCGGTTGCCCCACCTGTGTTCTCGTTCACTACACTACTAATTCATCAATTTTGAATGATTCAACGAGCAGTTGGTGTTGCATAATGAAATCAGTCGAGTCTCACTGTGATTCTCTTTCATCGATTCTTTAAGAAATTTTAACTTCATTCAATTAGAATAGAATGAAGACAGGTTTCTTCGTAGACAGTCACTTAATTGTTTGCACGTTTTAAGATCATTGTGAGACCAGTATTAGAAAACTGGAAGCACTGGGAGACGGCCGTTTCGTCGTGGTATGGGATTACTCATCAGTGGCAGTGAGCATCCATGATGAGTGACATATCAGGACGAAACAGCCGTCTTTCAATGCTTCCAGTTTTCTAATGGTAGTCTAACAATGACTGATTGATTGATTGATGATTTCCAATGTGTAATATGACAATGGCTGATACAGTAAAAGTACTACTTTATCACCCTTTGGATGATAGTGATATTATGTAGCGTATCAATTAAAGTTGGAAATATGAACCATTGGATTGGAACTCAATGATCAAGAGAAAATGGGTCGTCTTACATTGATGCGTCGGATTCCTAGGTTTTGTCATATATATGAATTGATGTGTGACCTGATAAACAGTCACGAACTCGCATAAGACAACTTTTTCAATGACAATGTAAATACAGAGTAATATGGTCGGCTCTTATTATCATCATGAATAATTAATTGAAATAACAAATAAATTAATTTATCACATAAAAACTTACTCTATCTAAAAAACATTGCATATACCATTTTAAAGCATATGTACTAGTTAACATATCATGTTTAATAAAATGTTTATCTAATAAAGGTAATAATTTACGAACAATACGTTCATGATGCATGAATAAACGATTTAATCCAGGAAAGCCAGGAACATATACACCATGCATATTATAACGATAATTAGTCATTAATTGATTCAATGCCCAAAATGCATCTTCTTCATCTTCAATATAAATAAGAAATATTCCAGCTAATTCACTCATTCCCTAAAAAAAACGAAACAAAAACCAAAAACAAATCGATAATTGTACGTACTACTACAACTACTAGTTGAAAGTGAACAAAAGTTTACAGTGATTATTTGTTTGTAGGCGCGTTGAATCTCTACAACTAACTCACTTTTGAAAAGGTCCAAATATTGGATTTTTATTTCGTGCATAAGATGCTCAGTTGACCTTTAGCTTACATTTCACTCACACTCGGAAAAGCAGTGACTGTCATTGGTTGATGGATTATTTTGGTTACGCTATTCAAGTGGTCCTCCCAAGGATGTTGCTATCATCATATAAATAAGCTTGATTTTTGTGGACTTAGCCACTTGGTATTTTCTAAGGGCTTGTAGAATACACTTTTGTTAGTGGGACATAGATGAAATTAAAGAACGACTACGTTGCTGCGCGCTGATTGGCTAAATTTCTATCCAATCAGCGCCTGATCGAAGCTTGGAGAACAGGATAGAAAATTCTCGTATTATTAGCTGCATGCTGATTGGTCAAATCCAGTCCAGTCGATCACGTGAATTTTCTTCCAGAAGTTTTCTCATGTACAGGCTATAAATAGACTAGCATTGTAATTATTTTGACCTTCTTCGCCTTCCTGCCTTCAAGCCTTCTTTGCCTTGGCTTTCGCCACCACCTCCAGCCTCTTATTCCTTGCTATTTTGGAATACAATCCTTCCTGTTCAACCGTGTTCTGATTTGGGTTACTTGTCCAGTGTTTTGTGTCAAGAATACTAAGCAATAAGATTTAGCCGGGAAATATCTTAAGCAACCGTTACAACAACTTTCTTCGCCTTATCAAGATTTCTTGCTCTCTAGTTAGTGGGGGCCTGGGACAATCGGATCAGAATAGCCTACCGTATCACACTGCATCACTGCATTTATCTTCGCTCTCGTTTACCGACCAACTAAGGTGAACTTGTAATAGTTCCAAGCATATCAGTAATACAATAATAATAATAATTATTATTATTATATTATTACTAAAGAGTTGGACAAATGCTATTATTATGTAAAAATCGATAATTGACGAGTTTGGTTTTCAAACAGCATAGTAGCAAAAAAAGTTACTCATCATATCTTGAATTTTTTTGAGTGTTGAAAAAAAAATCGTGTTTCCTGAAAAAGCATAAAAATGCTAATTTTATTTTACTGGGAAAACAGATATCTACAGTCATTGGAATTGATTATAATTTTATTGTAAAACTGTTAGGTTGTTCATCCCATATCTATTCTAAGAGAATTCTGTTTGTAAGTCGAATTCTCATTGGTCAATTCCAATTAGTCGTCCTAACTATCATTGTCATATACTTGAAATGTTGTTTCCTATTGGTTCTAACTGTATAAATAAAATAAATATCTATAAAGCTTATTATTGCTTCTGTACTCGACCCCGTAAACAACTTCGTCTAACGGTGTTGTGTTGAAGATTTTGGAACAGTTGAGGTCCGATGGTTAGGCGTTCGCGTACAATACCGAAGGTTCGAATCCTGCGAGGTACAGGAGTCGTGGATGCGCACTGCCACTGATGAGTAGTCCCATATATCAGGACGAAACGGCCGTGTTTCAGTGCTTCTTCCAGGTTTCTACTAGTGGTGTAAAAGAAAAACACAAATCTCCAAAGCTCTAACTGACAAAAAAAAGGATAGTTTTGACTAACTTGACAGTATCCCACTTCAGAGTTATACACTGAATAAGCGGCTAAAACACGGAATAATGCACATTGTCGTGGACAATAACGATCACGAAAGTAAATTGTATTGCGAAATGTTCGATTCACATCTAAATCGATTTGGCTAAGTGAAGCTGAAGAAGATAGAGCTTTCTGAAGCATTTTCTATAGAATTAAGATTATGAAAATAAAAATATACGTAAGTTACAGGTTAAATAATCAGATGTTTATAAATTAATTGTGTGCTTAAAAGATTGATAACGTTTAATCTACAACTCAGTGGAGTAACACGTTAAAAGGTCCAGTCACATGGTAGACGGTGACCAACAGGTTCATACAGCAATCGTTCCCTCATGGTACTCAAACCCATGTACACTAATGGTTTGGAATCAGGGCTTTGCAACGCCTCTCAGTGGATACATTAAGGAACCTGCCAAAGAGTCGGACATTGGCCTTTTTGTCCTCTCAATTTTGTAGACAACACCCCTACCGCGAGAAGTCAAATGAGAACTTCTCTGGCAGTGGCTACATAGGCGTAGTCATATGAGGACGAGCGAACTTTCATTACCCTCGGTAGTACAAGAGTATTTAGGGGCTATATCGAAGTAGCGAGATACAAAAGGACGAATAATTTATATTCCACGAAGGAAAATTGTACATAAAAAATATTAGTCGAAAGAGAATGATATGTATATATAAAAAATCTGGAATCACACCAAAACTCAAGATTTAGGCAAAGAAACGGAATAAGTACAAACAAGCTATCAAACTTTGAATGGGTTTTGTGTAGATTTTGTACAATTTGAAAAGTGATTTCTATTATGAAGCGGCATATCAGTTAGACAATCTTTGAAGAAAAGAAAGCACTAAACAATTGTACTGCATCGTTACGAGGCAAGCCCTTCATGTCGAACCCTCAAGATCGAAAAACACATTGAGACGGGAACTGGAAGAGGAAGACATCAAAAAACAATGAGTAGCACTTTTTTGAACAGCTGGAAAGAAGAGGCCCACAGTCAGAAGAGTTGGTTAGAAAATCTTGGCTGGGTGGCCTATGCTCTAAGAGTTGCAAAAAGGCATCCATAAGTACTTACTCACTTACGCCTGTTACCCCCAATGGAGCATAGGCCGCCCACCAGTTTTCGCCAACCAACTCTGTCCTGGGCTTCCCTCTCCAGTTCTGTCCAATGTTTGTTCATTCCTCTCATATCTTTCTCTATTTCTCGGCGTAATGTATTCTTTGGCCTTCCTCTTTTCCTTTTGCCTTGAGGGTTCCATGTGAGAGCTTGTCTCGTGACGCAGTTAGGTGCTTTCCGCAATGTGTGTCCTATCCACTTCCACCGCTTCTTCCTCATTTCCTCATCCAATGGAATCTGGTTTGTTCTCTCCCACAGTACGTTGTTGCTGATGGTGTCTGGCAAACGAATCCGAAGTATTTTGCGTATACAACTGTTAATAAACACTTGTATCTTCTGGATGATGGCTTTGGTAGTTCTCCATGTTTCCGCTCCATATAGTAGAACTGTCTTAACATTTGTATTGAAAATCCTGATTTTGGAGTTGATTGATATTTGTTTGGAGTTCCAGATATTTTTCAACTGTAGAAATGCAGCCCTCGCTTTGCCAATCCGCGCCCTCACATCTGCATCGGATCCACCTTGATTGTCGATGATGCTGCCCAGATATGTAAGGGTCCTCCAAGGCATCTCCATCAAGCGTGATTTGTTTGGTGCATGTTGTGTTGCATCGGAAAATTTTGCTTTTTCCTTTATGTATGTTGAGACCTACTGCTGCAGAGGCTACTGTTACACTGGTAGTCTTCTGTTGCATTTGTTGTTGAGTGTGCGATAGAAGAGCCAAGTCATCTGCGAAGTCCAGATCGTCCAGCTGCGTCCTAACTGTCCAGTTGATACCGTGCTTCCCTCCAGATGTTGACGTTTTCATAATCCAGTCGATCATCACCAGGAGAAAGAGTATACATCATTCGAACTGTAACTTAAAGGTCCTATATAGTGAACATAATATATACAAAAATAAGTTACACAGTCGAAATTCAATATTTCACATTTTCACAATCTTCATAGATATAATATATGTGAAAGAACACGATAATGATATGAAATAATAAATTAGTGAATAAATGAAAAAAAAAATATATTTTTTTAAAGTTCAAGGTAGTGGTGAAATTCTTCAGAGAAAAAAAATATATTCATTTCATAATATCATTAGGAATTGATGAATTATTATTGATAACTTGATCAAATTTCTGTGAATATAACAACAACAACAACAATAATCATAATGATAAATGAAATAAAACATAAGCACACACACACAGACAGACACACAGCGACCAAATAATTTCTAACAACTGGATGAATAAATGAAAACGCAGAAGAGTAAACATTATGCGATGCTAGATGGCTAGAAAGGTATATATATATACATATATATGCATTACGGGCTGTGAAGTTACACATTTGTTTGAAACCATGAATCGATCAATGTTAGACTACTACCATTAGAAACATGGAAGCACTGAAACACGGCCGTTTCGTCTTGGTATGGGACTCGTCAGTCAGTGGCAGTGCGCATCCACGACTCCTGCACCTCGCAGGATTCGAACCCAGGACAATCGGTATTGTGCGCGAATGCCTAACCATCGGACCACTGAGCCGGTATCTAACGGAGTCCCATACCAGGACGAAGCGGTCGTCTTTCAGTGCTTCTTCCAGGTTTCTAATGGTAGTAGTCTAACATTGATCGATTCATGGTTTCAAAAAAATGTGTAACTAATCCATAAGTCTGACCATCATAAATTACACATTCATAACAATGCATGCATAATCTCAGTGCAAATGTCAACAAAAACATATTCTAGTCTTGACAATCATAAAAATATGAGTTCAATTTATCTGATCGGAATAATAATACTATAATAGTACTTCATGAAACACCCACCTTAAGACAGTAATCAAAGTATGCAGTAACAAACAAGAGTGGCTGTAGGTGACGCAAATAAATACATTTATATTTGTCTATTTTTACAATACATAAATCAAGCTGTTTAACTTTATCTCTCTCTCTCTCTCTCTTCGGTTACATGTATTTTTCTAATATTAACAGATGAATGTAAGGAAGGATAGATAGAAATTTGACCTCACGTGTTGTATTCATGCAGATTACATGTGTAACAATAAGTCAACATGTCATGAATATGATCGATACATTTTGATTTGATTTCGGATTAAAAATTCATAGAGAAATGCATTATTATTATTATTGCTACACAAGAATCAATAAAAACCCAGTAGTGTGACAAGATGGTTAGTTAGCATTACTAAAACAAGTAATAAAGTTATTTTTTTCAGGTCGACCAGAATATTATTTATCTTGTGGTATGGGGTGGTGAGGTGTGTGTAAAAACCATTGACTTTTAAAACAATATTAAAATAGTTGTACTGTATGTAGTTCTTTCTAGTTTACCAAATGGCCCCTTATTTTTGATGAAAATAAATTTAGTTTAGGAATGATGCTCTTATAATTTTAAGTGTATGAAGACTGCAAGTTGTGTACAGCTTTAATTTGAAATAACCGCTGATATTATCGATTAAAAGCAGGTATTCGACAAAAAGCTTTATACGTAATAATAAGGGGATGGATTGTGAAGTTATTAACCTTTAGCAGCTGATGTATTTAGCACCACATAGCAAGTTGAGTGAACTGTCGTAAGTAAGCGGATTAACTATCTAGGAAAGTTCACATCAGTCGCATGTCCCGATCTACTTACTGTACAAAAAATCTTGCTATATTCGGGGAATTAATGGAACTACCAAGATGTAAAACGAACACTTCAAGAAAAATTATCACTCTCGAGCATATAGAACAATATGAAAGAAATACTACAATAGATGTCAATCAGTCAGTCAGTCAGTCAGCTAAAACGTAGAACTTCGTACGTACGTATATCAATCAGTTCATGTTGCCATAGTAAATTTGCACAGAGGTGCAATTGTCAATTTAAATCTGATGGTAGTAAAGGTAGTAGTAGAAGTATTAGCAGTAGTGGAGAAGATTAGGATTCGATGATATTATTCAAGAAGCATAATTCAGTGAAATAAATTTAGAAAGAGTAAGATTAGAATTTGAGAGAACACAAAGAGTGAATGCACATGCTCCATCGCAAACGATTTTGAGTCATGTCATTCAGGGTCTCTAACCATCTTGCGGACCTCAACAACGTAGTCTATATTCACCTACATGACTTAGTCTACTTGTCAGTAACTTCATGGATTTTTGCAGTGTTTTCTTTTGGCCAACCGTAGCTCTCTTCCAACCTACTTCGGCACTAAAAGCCATCGCTCGTCGAGGCAGTCGATGGTTGGGCATTCGTAACACATCATGGAGTTTCAATACTTCATCAATTGGTCTGCCATCTCTACCTAGTACTCGTTTTCTAACTATAGCATTGCCTACTCTGTTGTCCCAGGATATAAGAGCAATGCTTCGAAGACATCTATGATCGATTACTAATAACTTACGAATGTCTTCTATTCTTACTGGCAATGTTTCGCATAAATAAATTAGGAGAGAGCGGATTGCATCGCAGTACACTCATCCTTTGGTTAGCAAACGGATACCTCGCCTACGACATAGGTGACGAAGGCTGACGAAATCTAGTCGAGCCTTCTGTATCCGTGCTGAGATTTCGTCAGACACCAGGCCATCAGCACTGATGAAACTCCCCAGATAAGTGGAGCGGTCAATACTCTGAACCGCATCACTCCTTATTACTAGTTCAGATGCCAACACAATCCAATCCTGAAGCAACATTTTGCACTTCCAAGGGGAGAAACGCATCCTGAACATGCTTGCATTGTTGCTTGGGGTAGTCAGAAGACTCTATATTTTGTCAGCGTCTTCACCAAATAGAACTATGTCATCGGCATATTTTAAGTCAACAAGCGTGTCTTCTGGTAGAACGTCGACTCCTGAAAAGTCAGACAATGATAATGTTAGGGTCTAATAGTATGTCTACGATAAAGTTAAAAAAGAACGGAGAGAGTGGACAACCTTTACGGATACCACTTGGAGTAAAGAATTCCGATGACAGTTCGCCGTAAGCTCTAACTCGATCATTAGTGTTCGAGTAGAGAGCTTGTATAAGGTTAATGTACTTCTTTGGTACACCTTTTAATGACAGACACTGCCACAGGACCTCACGATCGACCGAGTCGAATGCTGCTACTATTGTGGGATGTCTGAACTAGGGTCTATGTTCTAGGACCTGACGTAGTGTGAATATCTGGTCCCAGAGTCCTAACTATGGAAGTCTGTTGCCCTATTTGACACAACGATCGAACATTAAAAGATCCGATATGTAGTTTAGGAGTGGGTTTCAGGAGACCAAGAATAACGCTTCGTATTGGCGGTTCAGGGTGATAAAGGAATGTGAGAAGGGTTAGTCGTGGCGATAAGAGAGAGGTTAGATGGTGCAGGAAGGATATGATTGTGACCGATTCGGTCTCGTGTGCTGTTAGGGGTATGAGGGTGGATGTCACTTCCCGGCTGACCACACCGTGTAAGGGTGTTTCTTGAAGAACCTGAAAAGGAAGATAGATTAACGTTTGTCTTACAGACATGGGAGTGCGACCGCAGAGCCCAGTTGACTACTGCTTGAGGCTGGTCACGCACAGCGTTTTTACGAGAAGTTCATACAGGTGACTTTGAGTGTATGCATGATTACTTAAACTGAGAAATAGCTGACGAAAAGTTTATAAACTGTAAGTAACATCACTACTACTAGAAATCGACCATTTGGCTAGTTTTTGTATGAAATAAGGTGAAAATCTACAGATTATATATAGTTAACTCCCATTAGAATGTACATTTAGAAAAGAATAAAAAGAAAAATTAAACAAACATTAAATAAATTCATGTCGATTTGTGTTCATCATAACAATGATGAGCATGGTGATGATGATGATGAAATCATACAGAATATTACAAGAGATTGATGATTTCAAATGTGTAAAAACACTAAAAACCTCCAAAAAAACTCTGCCCGAAAATATTGTAACAGTGCTCACTAGTAGTGACTACTAGCTTCGTGAGGAAATTCTCGGAGTTCTAGTTGAGAAGACATGACCATTGTGGAGGAGTTCAACCCTGTCGGGTGTAGGCAGTTACTACTACCAAAGACAAATAATGGGTGAGCTAGCGCAAAATCCCTAGATCAATCAGAGTTAGACATTAACACCGTTGGATGCTGACCCAGTGGTCCAATGGTTAGGCGTTTGCGTACAATACCGAATAGTCCCGGGTTCGAATCCTGTGACGTACATGAGTCGTGGATACGCACTGCCACTGATGAGTTTCATACCAGGACGAAACGGCCGTGTTTCAGAGCTTCCAGGTTTCTAATGGTGATGGTCTAAAAATGATTGATTGATGATTTCAATTGTGTAAAAGATATTCTTAAGCCTAGTTTACGTTTATTCAAGCTTCAGAAATAACACACACCCACTTAGACGTGAATGTGATGAATTTTCATCAAAAAAATGAAATCTCAAACGCATTTATCTTATCTTACACATACAATCAATCAGTTGTTATCAGTTAAGTATATCAAAGTCTGTAACAATAAACAAAAAAACCCACCTTACTATTTTTATCCTTTTATACTTCAAATTTCAGCCAATAAAAACAAAGTTAAAAAGAACAAAAAAACGATGACCTTTTATAACTAAAACTATGAACACTGTCAACATTGTCAACAAAATGCTAAGAGAGATAGAGAGACACAGAGAGAACATAACTGAATTTCATCAATCTCAACTATAGTGGTGTTTCATTGAGAGTAAAACAGAACTACTCTCTCTCTTACCGTATAAATATCTTTATTTTTATTTTTCATTTCTGCTACACACAGCAGAAGTGGCCAAACAGTCATACGAAATCGATCAGGAATTCCTTTGAAAATTCTTCGGGCTAACTAACGTCAGGTACAAAGAAAAAACAAAAACAAAATTATAGGCATGTCTATATATCTGTATGTGTTTACAGAACACAGAGAAAAAGTACATATATATATATATATATATATATATATATATATATACATGCTATTGTTAACAGTTCTTATTGTCATTTAGTCTCTAGAAGATTTTTCAGAAACAAAAAACACCATTTGAGCGAGAGAGAGAGACAAAGAGAATAAAGTCAAACAAAAAAGACCAAAAACTAGCATGTGAAAGTGTACCACCATCACCATCACTACCACTACTAGTTTGTGAAAAAGATTTTTTTTAGTGTATAATGTTATTTCTAATATGAGTTTCATTCAAAAGTATAGATACTCTTATTGAACTATGTGTGTTTATTATCTTAATGAGAGGTTACGCTTTAAACATACAGCGTTCGTGATAGAGTTATAGTCAAATATTTTCATTAGTAAGAATTATCACTTCATATCACATATAATGATAGAGATAGTATGGAGTATAAGCAGTAATCAGAGAGATTAGGGTTCAAGGCTATTCATTATTCAATAAGTAGAATCTAGTGAAATAAACTTAAAAAGAGAAAGATCGGTTTTTTATGAGGAGTTCAGAAGATTAGAATTTCGTAGAACACAAAGAGTGGATACACCAGCGCCATCGCAAATGATTTTGTTAGTGGGACATAGATGGAATTAAAGCATCACTAATTCGCTACGCGCTGATTGGCGAATTTCCTATCCAATCAGCGGCTGATCGAGTCTTGGAGAACAGGGTAAAAAATTCTCGTATTGTTAGCTGCATGCTGATTGGCTAAATCTAATCCAGTCGATCACGTGAATTTCATGTAGATGCTATAAATAACTAACGTTGTAGCTATTTTTGCCTTCGCCTTCGCCATCACCCTTGACTTCTTGTTTCCATTTAACCTTGCTATTTGGAATATAATCTTCCTGTTCAACCGTTGTTTTTGATTCTTTGGAACTTGTCCAGTGTATTGTGGTCAGAGAATACTAAGTGTTCGGGATGCTAGATCCCCGAAATTCGCTTGATAAATGCCTTATTTCGGTTTTCACGTTTGCCATCATGGACTGATCAGATGACCTTGAGATTTCAATTCCCACCAGGAAAATCCATGGCTGTGATTGGCTGCTGTGTATTTTAGTGTGCTATTTTCTTAAGTGTCTCAAGGACGTTTCTATGTAGTATAAATAAATGAGAGTTGTATGCTTGATTGTATTGTGATTGATGGGTGTTTGTAGAATATACTTTCTGCGCTACAAAGCCTTTTTACTTCAGCCTGGGGATTCAAGGTAGCCTACCTGGACGCTGGTTTATAGTCTCGTTCGCGTTTATCGACTAAGGTGAACTCGTAATAGCTTCAAGCATACTAAGTGACGAACTTATAAGTGGCGACGGTGGTTTTGGAAATATGGATCCTGCCAAACTTGAATCATTACTTGAGCAGCAGCTGAAACTGATGCAGATGTTGACAGACATGAAGATTTCCCCTTCCACACAGCCCAGCTCATCTAATGCAACTTCAGCTCCATCGGTCGACGGCATCGCAAATAGCATAGCTGAATTTCATTATGATCCTGATGCAAATGTCACTTTTGACATGTGGTTCCGGCGTTATGAAGATTTATATAAATTTGATTTCGCCAACCAAGATGATCCTTGGAAGGTTCGGCTGCTACTTCGAAAGTTGGGCGCAAGTGAGCTGGATAAGTACTGCAATTTGATCCTGCCTTTGAACCCACGAGATTGTTCATTTTCTGAGACTGTTCAGACTTTAAGCCACCACTTTGGCGATAACTCGTCACTGTTTAATACTCGATATCGATGTTTGCAGCTAATTATGAACGAAGATGATGACTTTCTTACGCATGTGGGCATCGTCAACCGTGAATGCGAATGCTTTCGGTTGAAGTCTTTGTCGGAAGATCAGTTCAAAGCCCTTATACTCATCTGCAGCCTCCAGTCGAGTAAGTTCAGTGATATTAGAACACGGCTACTATGACGTTTGGAGCAAGATCCGAAGCTTACGCTTAATGACATGGCTCATGAGAGCCAACGTCTCACTAACCTACAACGAGATTCAACTATATTTCAGAGTGGTAGTTCAAGCCGATCTGAAATTCACTTGGTACAGCAGCCACCTAATCAGAATAAGTCTGCCCATGCTACACCCAGTTCATCCCGCTCCAACTCTGCCCAAAAATCCAAAATGAATCCCCCTGCTGCTTGCTGGCACTGCGGCTCATGGCACTATGTACGGAACTGCCCATTTAGGCAGCATAGATGCAGGAAGTGTAAAGTCATCGGTCATAAAGATGGCTTTTGCCTACAGAAAAAGCCAAACCGATCCAGAAAGGCTAAGAAGCCTGTTCCTAGATCCAGTACCAATGCATTGAGCCTAATATCTTCCTGCCAAAGCTCATCACCAGGTGAGAGGAAATTTATTACTCTTAATATTAACGGTTATTTGTGTAGAATGCAAATAGATACTGCATCTGATGTCACTATCCTCTCACGCAAAAATTGGACCAAATTGGGTAGCCCAAGCCTGCAGCACACAACACAAAAGCCTCGTACAGCATGTGGTAATTATCTTCGTCTGTTAGGACAATTGGAATGTAAAGTTGCTTTCCGAGATTCGTCGTTTACTGGGGTATGCTATATAACGCCAGCTGATCTAAATTTACTTGGTTCAGATTGGTTCGACCAGCTAAAATTGGCTGATGTCCCGTTAAATACCATATGCCACCTGGTATCACAACCAAATGACCCCGAAGCATATACGAAGAAGCTGATGTCAGAGTTTTCAACCATTTTTGAACCTGGATTAGGTCGGTGCACTGCTATGAAAGCAACACTTCGGTTGAAACATGGGGCTAAGCCTGCTTTTCGTCCAAAGAGACCCGTACCTTATGCAACATTAGCAACAGTAGATGAAGAGCTGGATCGCCTTCAACGACAAGGAGTTATCAATCCTGTTTCTTACGCTAGTTGGGCAGCACCAATAGTCGTTATCAAGAAGGCCAACGGCACGATACGTATATGTGCTGACTTCTCTACAGGTCTCAACGCAGCTCTAGAACAGCATCATTATCCTCTGCCAGTTCCAGCAGATCTGTTCACTGTGCTGAATGGGGGAAAGTTCTTCGCAAAGCTCGACCTAACTGATGCTTATTTGCAAGTGGAAGTCGATGAAGCATCTAAAGAGCTGCTTACTATCAATACCCATCGTGGTTTGTTCCAGTACAACCGTCTGCCTTTTGGAGTTAAGACTGCCCCATCTATCTTCCAACAACTAATGGATACTATCCTATCAGATATCTCAGGGGTTGCAGCTTATCTAGATGATATCTTGATTGTTGAGAAGACGTTAGAACAGCTACGGGAACGCACGACATTGGTACTACGACGCATCAGTGACAATGGTTTCCGGTTACGCCCAGAAAAATGCCAGTTTCTATTGCAGTCGGCAAAGTATTTGGGATTCATCTTCGATGCCGACGGTCGCAGACCGGATCCTGAGAACATCCGAGCTATCAAACTGATGCCTACTCCCACTATTGTTTCAGAATTACGATCTTTTCTCGGATTAATCGGTTATTATTCAGCTTTTGTTCCCTCGATGCATGATATTCGCGCTCCACTGAATTGTCTACTGCAGAAGCATAGCACATGGAACTGGAGTAAAGAGTGTGACGCGGCTTTTGGTAAACTCAAGTCTATAATTAGCTCGGAATTGTTATTAACACATTACGACCCATCCATGCCGATCATCGTAGCAGCAGACGCTTCAGCATATGGCCTAGGTGCTGTTATTTCACATCAGTTTCCAGACGTGTCAGAAAAAGCCGTTATGCATGCATCCCGTACACTGAACCCAGCAGAAAAGAAGTATAGCCAGATAGAGAAAGAAGCTCTTGCCCTTGTGTTTGCTGTCCGCCGTTTCCATAAGTCTCTGTACGGTCGGAGATTCACGCTCCTCACAAATCACAAGCCTCTGTTAGCAATATTTGGTTCAAAGTCTGGCATTCCAGCCCATTCTGCAAATCGTCTTCAGCGATGAGCCTTGGTACTTTTGGGGTATGAATTCGAAATCCAATATCGACGTACTCTACAATTCGGTTAAGCAGACGCTTTGTCAAGACTCATTGATGATCAAGTGGCGGCTGAGGAAAACATGGTGATCGCATCTCTGTCAGTAGAAGACCACGCAGAATGTTATCTGACAACCGCAGTTCGCGCATTACCGGTGTCTGCAACAGACATACAAAATGCTTCTAGAAACGACCCCATCATCAAGATGACGATGAAATATGTCACTAACGGTTGGCCGTCGAAAAAGTTTGAAGGTGACATGAAGCAATTGTACAAGCGGCGGGAGTCGTGAACGATTGTCTGATGTTTGGTGAAAAAGTAGTGGTGCCAGTATCCCTTCGTGCAAAAGTTCTGAAACAGTTCCATCTTGGGCATCCTGGGATTAAACGAATGAAGTCCATAGCCAGGAGTTATGCATACTGGCCTCACATGGATCAACATGTCACAGCGTTGGTTGAAAAATGCATGTGGTGTCAGCAGGCGGCAAAGATGAATGCCAAAATTCGGCCGGTTTCATGGCCCAAACCTGAGCATCCTTGGTCCAGGATACATGTCGACTTCGTTGGTCCAATTAATGGAACTATGTATTTAATTGTCGTCGACACCTCAAAATGGCCAGAAATCAGCCCCGTTATGCCGCCCACTACAACTAAGACTATACAGCTCCTAACTGAAATTTTCTCACGCAATGGCATACCAGATATGATCGTATCCGACAATGGCTCTCAATTCACCTCTTCCCAATTCCAGACTTTCTATCAACGGCTAGCCATAAAACACTTACGCTCGCCACCATACTACCCGCAATCGAATGGGCAGGCGGAAAGGTTTGTGGATACGTTGAAAAGAGCATTGCATAAGTCAAAAGGGGAGGGGACAACACGA